GAGTCCACCCCTACCCTTGCCAAGCTCCCTCCCACCAGTTCCGGGCTATGAAAGGGCCACAGCTGAGACCTTCAGATGTTCTGTGGATGCTCAGAGCCTTGTGTTCAGCTGCCTCAAAACTGGTGGCACAGAACCAGGCCATCCTTTGTTCCTGAAAGAGGCCTTCCAATGTTCAGAAGTGTCCACATACTCCCCAAACCTTCATCCACTTCCAGCAGAACTCAGCGTCCAGGGATGGGGCCACTTGGATGCAAGCCTGATTGTCCCTTATGGGACTGCAGCAGGCAGATGTGAACCCCACTCTGATGTAGCAGGATGACCACAAGGAGGCCAGCTGGTCAGGGCCCCAGAAAGGCAGGCTGCAGGGGAGCGCTGCTGAAAATGGGGTGTGTCAGTTACAGTCCAGGCACTCTAGGACAGAGGGGAGTCAAGACAAGGAACTGGGAAAGTGGAGAATTCTCAACAGGATCAATGAAAAGGTCCCTTTTGGATGCCTGATGGTGTACATCTCTGCACTCCAACATCACTCCCTAACCTGGGCAAGTTTCCTCATTTCTCACTACCCAGCTACTCAACTGGAAAGCCCTTCTCCTGCCTCCCCTGGGCCCTCTACCCTGCACAGCTAGGGGAGAGTGGACCAGGAGCATGGAGGACTGGGAGGACTCTCGGCCAGGCCCCAGGAAGTGTATGAGGGGAGAAGAGGCCCCGGCTGAGAGGATGGCGGTCTCATTCAGGCCTCGACTCTAGCAGCTTTGTTTCAAACATGGATTTTTTTCGGTTCTCATAATTTGCGGAACCCTGTAGCAGAGTAGAGATGATCCACTAGCAAATGGGGAATGATCTCAGCCCTAGCCCTCACTGAGTTTTGTTAGACTAGGTAGGAGCTCTGAGGCTGCTTCAGCCCAGCATGGAATGTGAGAACGTCAGGGACTCGGCTGCTCTGTGCCTCAGTTTTCCTGTCTGAAAACAGGGCTCAGAATAGTACCTGGCCAGTGGGGTTGTTGGGAGGGGTCACACAGGTGATCCAGGCAGATCGAGCCCCTCCCCAGACAGGCAGCCACTGTTAACTTACTCTTTGAGGAGCTAGATGTCCCTCTGGTTGAAAGTTAACTGCTAGACACAGTAAAGATATTCTGGGCTCAAGCCTTCCCCACTGGGTGGTTTGGTGAGCATGCATTCAGACTGCAGGGCTGTGCGAGGGCTGCAGTCATCAAGTCCACAGTCAGGGCAGACCCAGGTCTCATGACTTCTGAGCTTATGCAATTAGGGAGACATTTGAAGAACAAGAATACAAAACAATCATGGGGACACAGTCCTAGCCTCTCCCAGGGCCTTGCAAAGGTCCCATGCAAGGGGGGGCCTCAAGGCCAAGGGCCCAGAGCCATGATGGTAAATGGCACACTGGTGACTGGGCTGAGCCTTGGAGCCCAACCCAGGACTCCCAGTGCTCGCGATATTCAATAGGACTGGACCTTATGAGTATGAGGCACACACTCACTGCTCCCCTCCCCTCTCTGCAGCTGCCTTGCCTCTCCAGCTACATCAAGCTCAGAGTCTTGGACTGGTGAGCAACTGGGTGGAAACTGAAAAGCATGCCGGGGAGGGGAAATTTGGAGCTGGGCCAGGGGCTCAGCCTGCAGTACGTTTCTCTCCAGCACCAAGAGCAACTGCCAGGATGAGGTCGGAACTGCCAGCCTATCTCTCAACCAGATCTCATCCACCGGAGCAGAAATGGAAGGCAAGCAAGCTCTCGGCCCCAGTCCAGCACCTCTCTCGCCTGGCCGTCCTCTCACCCTCTCTCCCTGCAGGAATGTACTCTGGCTTCCTGCCCTGCTTTGGTCCCAGCTTCCTGACCCTCCATGGGGGTAAAAAGGCCCCTTTCCGGATGGAAGAAGAAAGTGCCGTAAGCATCTTACGTCAGCTCTAGGGAACAAAGGAGGTAAAAACGACCATGTGTGAGGGACCAGAGCCTCAGAGATGCCCGGGGAGGGTCCAGCCCGGTTTCTGTCCACAACACACGCTGGTGAAGGACATGAAACCTATACATAAATGGCCATGGAGGTGTGTGACATATGCTGTGGCACAAGAAAAGAATAGATGGAGGGCATTGAGTTGGGACTTCGGGTAAGATTTTCAGCAGGTGGAAATGAACTACAAGACAAAAGAAACAGCACAGGTAAATGTAGAAAAGCACAGGGTTATTTAAGCCTGGTGACAAATGCCAGAAAGCCAAGTCCAATCGGCTTACAGAGGAAAGGGGGCTGGGAAAGACTCTGATCGAAGAAGAGGCAGGCACGGGGACCTCAGTGCCATCCAGAGACTCTTTTTCTCTCCAGCTGTCATCTCTGCTGTTCTGGGGCCTCATTCCTTCACCCAGCAGCCAAGCCTCCCTGGCTGACAACCCTAAGCCGACGCCCATTTTCTGCGGAGACAGGACCAGTTAGGCCAGGGGAGCATTCTAATTGGCCTCCTTGGGTCACGTGTGCTCTCCTCGGGCCAGTCACTGTGGCTAAGAAGGCAGGGCATGCCCTGATTGGCCAGGTGGAGAGAGTTCATTCAGTCGTTACCTCCCAGTAGGAAGCATTTATGGGGCAGAATGCTGAAGGGCAGGAGTGGATTTATCCTCCCTGAGTAGGAAGTTACTGGACAACTCTCTTGGTTACAGAGGAGTTGGGAGGTTGGCCTGTTGTGTTTCTCTCATCCTTTTTCTCGCCATTTTTCCTCCCTGTACTTTAGACTATTCCCAGCTCTGTTAAGGACGGTTTGGAGTATCGAGGCCGAGTTTTCCTGGAGTTAGTCACCCACATGACGTACCACCAAGACAACATCATAAAGACCCTCTCCCAGGAAGTGACAAGTATAGAGGTAACCCAGAAAGAAAGGGGCCCTCTGCCTGCCCCAGTTGACTGTGTGTCCCGCTTTTGGCCTTGGCAGTTATTGGCCTGAGGATGGTGGTCAATCCACCTGAGCCTGTACTGAGCCGCGACTGCCTTCACGCTGTGCCAAATTCCAGGTGGCCAGGGGACCCAGTAAAGACAAGATAAAGCTTCGGTTTAAGCAATGTGTCATCTAGTTAAGGAGAAATGTTCTAAGGAACATCCTAAGGAGTTTGGATTGCTTCCTGAAAGCAGAGGAGGGCTGTTGAGGCAGGAAAGTGTTAAGAATAGATAGGAGGGGAGTAAGGCCAGCCATACACTTAGTAGAAATAGGGCACAGTTACAGAGAGGACAGCTGGAGAGGAGGGAGCTGGTGCCAGAGTCCCATTGGAAGCAGAATAACAGGAACCACCGACTAACAGGACACAGAAGTGAGGCCGACAACCCTAAGCCGACACCCATTTTCTGTGGAGACAGGACCAGGTGGTAGCTGAATAGGGCTCACAGGGGAGAAGGAGTGTTGGGTTTAAGACAGGAGACCTGAGCTAGTGAACAGACTGGGGAAATGCAAGAGCAGGGCAGAACTTGGCAACAGAAATGAGAGACAGGCTAACAGGAGGGATAGAGGACCCTGAGCAGATAGGAAGCGTGGTGGTGAAAGGAGGGCGCTCAAGAAGGGCCAAGAGAGAACACGTGAGTGTGTGCAGACTCCATCATGTTCCCCTGCCCACACTCGCTCTCAGCCTAGGAGGGCATTTGGGCAAAACGGAGAGGGGTGGGGTGGCCCACCATGGGTGTCCCGACCTAGAGGCTAACCTGACCAGGGAGAAGGGCCTCCTGCCCAATTTCAGGAAGGAAAGGAACCAGGGCTGGCAGGGAGTAGGCGATGGAGGTCCTAGGAGGAACTGCCACCTTGACCAGAGGGTGAGTGGGAACCAAGGCAGGGTTGGGGGTGGAGGAATGAGGCCCCAGTCTAGCTCCCCCTAAAGAGAAGCAAAGATGACTTTTGAAAGAAACGGTACTCCATCCTCACCCCCTGCCTGTTTTATAGCCTTGTTCTTCCTTGGCTTCCATTTTGAGGGTCTGGGGGGTTATTGTTTTAGAAGCATCAGAGCCGCCAAAAGTATGGGCTGTGTGTCGTCTTCCTTTCCTGTACCATGATGCCCAAATTTAACGACCTGATCCGATTTGAGGTCAGCATTGGCCACTATGGAAACAAGATGGACCTGAATTACAAGCCTCTCGTCTCCACCACACAGTATAGCCCAGTGATATACGACGGTAATGGTCAGATCCAGCCGGGAAGCAGCATCCACTGCACACTGGGCTCTGGGCTTGGCCTTTTTATGGGTGTTGGCTCATGGAACATTCATAGGCATTGTTAACCCACATTTCACACCTGAGGAAAATGAGCTTCAGGGAGGTGAAGCCACCTGCTAAACTGCACAGCTAGTAGGTGGTGAACCCATGATCAGAATTAAAACTCGGTCTTGGCTTCAAGTCCTCTCCACACTACAGCTTCCCCAACCCATCTTCCCCCAACTACTCTGACCCAGCCCCATCCATCCATGCAGCTGCCATTCACTGCTCATCTGCCCTCCTGCTACCCGTTAGTCTGTCCGTTCATCCAGTGTCTACTTACTGGATGCCCACATTGGGCGCTAGAGAGAGCAATCCTCAAAATGCAGCCCCCAGGCAGCATCGGTACCGCCTGGGAACTGTGAGAAATGTGGATTCTCGGCCCCACCCAGGTCCTGCAGAATCAGAAACCCTGGGCATGCCCCTCTCCACCCCTGGCAATCCATGATTCAATAAGCCCTCCAGGTGATTCAGGCTGAAGTTTGAGACCCATTGCCCTGGAGGAACGTGGCCTCCCTCTCCACATCAATCAGTTTTGCCACCACGTAGCCCATTGAGAACCTTTTGGGCATCCCTCATCTCTACCTGCGTTTTAAAAAAACAGCTTTATTGAACTATAATTCACAATACCATACGATTCATCCATGTAAAGTAGACAATTCAGTGGTTTTTAGTATATTCACAGACTTGTGCAACCATCACCATGGTCAATTGTAGAAGATTTTCATCACCCCAAAAAGAAACCCTGTGCCCACCAGCAGTCTTTCTATTCTTCTCCATCTTCTCAACCTTAGGCGACCACTAATCTAGTTTCTGTCTCTATAGGATTTCCTCTTCTGGACATTTTGTATATGTGGGATCATACAATATATGGTCCTGGGCAACTGGCTTCTTTCATTTAGCATAATGTTCTACTGGTATTTAAATTATGAAATACATATACGGAAAGTATATACTATGTACATGTAGTTTAAAGAAAAAGGAGTACCCATGAGCTCACCACTCAGCTTAAAAAGGCAGAAAGTTGTCAGAGCTCCAGATCTATGAACCCAAGCAATACCACGATCCTGACTCTTGTGATCATCACACCCCCACTTTTCTTTTTAATTTTTACCACCTATGTGTGCAGCCCTAAAGAGCATACTATCGTTGCATTTTATGTCGGTAGGACCTTCGTTCTGTATCCATCTGTTTTTGTGTCTTTCGCTCAATATTAATTTATATATATATGTATATATATATTCATAGCTAAAGTTCATTTTCATTTCTGTGTGTATCCCATGTATAACATTCCTTGAGAGTTTGGTAGGACTCACCTCTAATTATATGGTACATGTAGACATTTAGGTTGTATCTTTTTTTTCCTACTATAATAATTTTGTTATAAACATTCTTGTGCATGTCTTCTGGTCACGAGAGCAAGACTGCCTCTAAATTATACACCCAGGAGTGGAAAAGAAATTCTAAGCAAGTAATGACACCTAATTACACTTTCATCAGCGTAGTACTCAGTCTTGGCCCTGGCCTTTTAATTTTTGCCAATTCGGTGAATGTTAAGTGGTCTATTCTAAGATCTTGATTTGCATTTTCTTGATTCGAAAGCTGAACATCTTTTCATGTGTTTACAAACATTTTTTTCCCTCATCTGTAAAAAGCCTGTTGATATCTTTTATCCATTATTCCATCTGGCTATATTTTTCTTATTGACTTGTTTCTGAAACAATCTTTTGTCAAGTCTATGTCGTAAAAAACTTCCCTAAGTTTTGATCCTCCTAGATCATATTTGGCACATGGTGTACTCTTTCAATATGTAGATACAAGTCTTTTGTTGCTGTTGTTAGCAATTATTTAGTGGTATAATTTACATTTCATAAAATTCACTTGTTTTATACAATTCAGTGAGTTTTAGTAAATTTACAGAGTTGGGCAGCCAGCATCATGCCTCTCCCCCCAGTTTAGAATATTTCTATCACCCCAAGAGATCCCTCATGCTTGCTCGTGGTCATTCTCCTATCCCATCCCCGGCCCAGGCAACTACTGGTCTACTTCTGTCTCTATAGGTTTACTGTTCCTGGACATTTCGTATAAATGGAATCATGCAAAGTACGGTCTTTCCCATTTGGCTTCTTTCACTTGGCAGACTGTCTTGAGTTTTATCTATGGTGTAGCATATGTCAGCACTCCATTCCTTTTTATTGCCAAATAGTATTCTATTCTACAATGTATCCTTCATCATTTGTTAATCCACTCATCAGTTGATGAACATCGTTTTTACTTCCATACTTTTATGCATGAAGCTGCTATGAACGTTTGTGTAAAGTCTTTGTGTGGACATCTGCTTTCATTTGTCTTGAGGAGATACTTAAAAGTGGAGTAGAATGAATTTTTAAGAAACTGCCAAACTTTTCTAAAGTGCCTGCACCATTTTCCATTCCAATATCTCTACGTCCTCACCTGTTTGCTGCTGTCTCATTTTTATTATATCTATTATAGTGGGCATGTGGCTCACTGTGGTTTTACTTTGCATTTCCCTAATAAGTAAGGACACTGAGCATCTTTTTGTGGGCTCAGTGGCCATTCATATATCTTCTTTGGTTATATGTCTATACAAATCTTTTGCCTATTTTTAAATTGGGTTGTCTTCTTGTTATTGAGTTGTAAGGGTTCTTTATGTATTCTAGATGTAAGTCCTTTATCATATATATGATTTGCAAATAGTCTGTGGCTTGTTTTTTCATCTTCTTGATGGTGTCTTTCAAAGCACGAATATATTTAATTTGGATGAAGTCCATTTCTTTTTCTTACATGGTGTCATATCTAAGAACTCCTCTTAACCCAAGGTTATGAAGGCTTTCTCCTATTTTTTCTTCTAGAAAGTTTATAGTTTTAGTTCTTACATTTAGTTCTATGATCTGATTTGAATTAATTCGCATATAGATATCCATTTTTTAAGCACACTGTTAAAAAAAAATCCTTTTCACATGTGGGTTTTCTCAAATTATATTTTAAAATACCCTGTTCCATGGTCTAGGTTTTCTACTTAGGGGCTGTGTTTATGGGTTTCACGATTCTCTTTTGTTTTCTTCTATAGCTGTCATTTTCTCTCTGATCCTGTTTGACTCTATTTCCACTTTGGTCACTTTTCTCATTTCTATGCCTCTCACTGCATTGTCCGCAGGGTCTAATCTCCCTGGGCTTCTTTTTCTACTGTCTGCCTTCCTGTGAGGCTTTTGTTTTTTTCTTTTACTTGTTTTCTGAGTTTTGCCAGCTCACATTTCCTCATCTGAGTCTTGAGTTTGTCCTGGGAGTGTATTTTTGCTGGCACTTTCTGCACTCGGCTCCCGTCAAGCTGGGCTCCCAGTTGCCTGCCTTGCTCCTCACATCCCCACAGGTGACTCTGTACATCAGCTCTTAGGACTCCTACGGCAATCCTAGTTGCTTTTGGCAGTCCTGGGGTATATTTTGAGTCTCCAGATTATATCTGTCTTCTTGCTGTTTTGTATGCCATCTAAGAGTAGAGGAAGAAAATTGCCATCTTGTATCCCTACGCCCATATCTGACAGCCCCAGTCCTGGAGCTCCTTTTATTTATCATTCCCTCAGTGCCAAGGTCTGAAGCTGCTGTCTTCCGACAATTCTGGAAAATCATAAGATATTTTCCCTTTGAAAATTACCTCTTCCTCGTCTCTTGTATCACCTTCTTGAATTCACTCTGTCCTCTGGACCTTCTTGTTTTATTTTTCATGTTTTAAAATCTCTCTTCCATATTTTTCATCTCCCTGGGCTGTATTCTGCATAATTTCTTCTAGAAAAAGCCTTAGCCATTTCATTTAAAAATTTTTGGCAGTTTCTTGTCCTCCTCCCGCACTATTCTTCCATATACATAGCTTTTCCCACCATTCGACACACTGTATTTCATGTATTTGTTGTGTCTTTTTTGCCCTTGCTATTGAAATTCTTAAGTGAACTTTTTGATTTGAGTGTAACATAATTATGGAAAAGTACACAAACTAAACTGTCCAGCCCAGTGAATTATCGCGAAGCAAACATATCCGTGTAACAACATCCAGACCACGAAAGAGTCTCCACATCCCAGATGCCCCTTGAGCTCCCCACCCCCACCAAGAGCAGCCACCCTCCTAGCCTCCAATTTGTTTTGTCTGGTTTTTAACTTTATATAAAAGAAATCCTATAGTATGTATTCTCTTGTGCCTGGCATCATTTGCTCATCATTTTATTTGTGAAACACATTCACAGACCTGGATAACATTGGGTGTAGTCGTAGCTTATTTCTCCTCATTGCTGTGTAGTATTCCATTGTGCAAATACACCATGATTGATTTATCCCTTCTACTTGTGAGGGAGATTTTAGCAGTTTCCAATTTGGGGCTACTCCGAATGGTGCTGCTATGAACCTTTTTCTACTCATGCCTTTCTGTTGGGTACACACCTAGGAGCGGAATTGCTAGGTTAGAGGGTGTGTGTTGGTTCTAAGCTGTTTGTCTTCTTCAAACTTTATCTGTGGAATCCTTTGGGACTTGAATAAAGTTTCACGCCCCAGAGGGGGTTTGTCTTTGTTTCCTCCAGTCACCTGGGGCATTGCCAACCAGACACCACTTTAAATTTTATGCAGACCTCACGAGTGGCATGAATGCAGAATACAATCTGCATGAGGTCTCGCTTGTGGTTACAAATTTTTAGGAAATTTTCCTCTTCCCCTCCCCAGAGGCATGTTGGAGAAAGGCACATTTCATCACGGCCTTCCTCTGTGTGATGGGTTATTTCTCGTTGATGAAGGGTTTAGGTTTTGGAGTGCCAGCTATGCATGGAGTATTAGTATGCTAGGGCTGCTGCAACAAAGTGCCACAAACTGGATGGCTTATAACAAAACAGATCGTATTCTTTCACAGAAACTCAAGACAAAAGCCAGCCTAGTTTCCACTTGCCTCAGACTTTCTGCTTTTTATTTTGGGCTTCTGTGGGTTTCTTCCTTTTACGTCAACTCAGCAACGCACCTCAGAAACACAATCCCTCCCATTCCATCTGGCTTTTCCCCTCATTTCAATAAGGGACACTGTCGTGGGTTTTATCTATCTTTGCTCGTGACCCCACTCCTCCACATTGGCAGGACCTCTGTGTTAGACGGCTGCCCACCCCACAGCCAAACCTCAGCCTCCTCCTGAGCCCAGGGCCCACTCCTCTTTGCCTCTCAGACCACCCAGAGGGGAGACCCACCTCGAGGCATGCCTCTTGCGTTGGCAGCTCGCCAGCGGGTAAGGGCATGGGGCTCTGGAGCTAGATATCCATGTTAGGACCACCTGGCGGTGCCACGTTAGGCAAATACTTCCCACCACTTGCCTGGATATTCCCACCTGTAAACTGGGAACTTTGAAAGGTGGTGTGACACACTGAGCACAATGAATGCTCCCAGAGTCCCTTAGACACCCCCCATTGGTCTCTATGTCTTAGGGAACATCTACCATTATGTGCCCTGGTATAACACCAAGCCGGTGGTGACCGTAACCTCTTACTGGGAGGATGTCAGCTTCCGCATGAACTGCCTGAATCTCCTCCACTTCACTCGGGACCGCCTGGTGAGTGGTACAGGGCAGGGCACAGGGTGAGACCCAGATCACCAGCAAGGGACTTGGAAAAATGAGCCACAGAGGAAACTGGCCACTAGGCTCACTCATGCCTTCCACACCGATTGGGACAGAAGCACCAGACACAGCCCCTGTCCTCATCATTTGAAAAGTCAGAGATGCACATAGTTACTAGGCAGTGCAGTGAGTGCTGCATTGGACATATAGGTACTGAGAGCTGTCAGGGCAGAAATTGGGGTGTGAGATGAAGAGAGGACAGACAGTCAAGGAGGTGTTTGAAAGGAGGTGACATTTGAGCACAGTCTTAAATAATGTGGAATTTGTTGGGGGCATGGTAGGGTGCAGAGAAGGAAAAAATGTACAAAGCCATAGGTGATGTGGAAATAAGGCCAGAGAAGGTGGGAGGAGTCAGATCACAAAAGGTCTATAGGTGCCTGTCAAGGAGGGAAGCCCCTGCACAGTTTTAGGCAGGAGAGCCACCTGGGGCCTCCACCTGAGGTGTGACCTCCTCAAACATGGAAGGGAAGCCCAGGGTCAGGATCCATACTCTTCCATGTCCCACTCCTTCCTGGCTCCTGCTGGCCACCCATTTCTTCAGTTGGGTTGGAGGGGAGGAGCATGGGATCCTAGTCATGCAAGGGCATGAGGCAGCTTTGGACTGGCATCCCTGGGTTACTCAAAGGTCCCCAAGTCCTGGCCGAAAACGTCTCGTGTCAACCAGCCCTATAGCTTTCCCCCAGTGTCACAAGTTCACCTGCCATTTCTCTCCTGTCCGGCAGAAAGCCAACCTGGACACCCTGAAATCCATGAGGAACCTGAAGGACCCCGCCCTGCTCCCCCAGTGGGAGAAACTGCTAAGGGAGCTGGTGGAGGACTGCAAGTAGGAGCGGGACGCGCCCTTCCCCACTCCCCACTTCCTCCAACCTCTCCCAAACCACAAAGCTGCTTCTCCTCTTCCATTAGGATTTGCAGAAAATGGCCCTTACTCCCGCCCCAGCATTATCCCTGCTGTCCCCATACCCACCCTGACCTCCCACCAAACCAAGCCCCTCCCTGTTATTCAGACAAGCCCTGTACTTCCCAGCTGCCCCTTCCCACTGTTGCTCCTCTCTCCAGGGCTCTGCCTATTCTGGAAGACTCCTTGTAAGGCCTCTGCCGGCCCCACACCCCACTTGAGTCCCCACTGCCACCTGCCAGGGTTTGGCTGGCTCCCACCCCTCCCCACAAGGAAGTCCTTGTGCACTGGCTCATGCAGGGGTTAGGAGGGTAAGAGAGGGATGAATGAGATGTTGGGGGCCAGGCTCACCAAGTGGGCTTCCTTAGGACAGGTAGGAAGGGCTCCCCAGGTCAGGCTGGCAGGGCACGAGCCGGATCTTGAATCTGGGAAGGGCACACCGGCCTAAGGCAGGGTGAGAGGTCGCGAGATAGCCCAGCCTCCCACCCCTTCCTGGTCCTGGCCACAGGTGCTCTCTGCCCTGCATGACCAATGAGCCCAAAGCCACAAACCTGGACAAGAAGAGGTGGCAGCTCCGCAGCTATCTCCTGAAGGAACTGGCCCAAAAGGCCAAGGAAGCGCAGCCTAGGGAGATGGTGGCCACCGTGGAGGGCTGGCTGTTCCGCCTCAATGCTGTGCTTCCCGAGGTGGGTGCTGGACGCACCGGCTGGGAGCAGGCCTTGGAGCTGCATGCAGACCTGACCCTCCCACCTTGGCAGCCCCAGGTGAGCCTCCCTGACGTGATGATCTGGCTGATGGCTAACGACCAGCGAGTGGCCTATGCACAGGTGCCAGCCCACAGCATCTTGTTCTCCCGGACGGGGGCGCTGCATTGCGGCCAGTTCTGTGGGAAGACACAGACTCTCCTCCTGCAGGTGCAAAGTGGCCGTCCAGTCTGCGGGAAGGGAGGCCCAGAGATAGCCCAGGGAGAAGCCCCGATGGGGGAGCAGCCCCCAGGGGCCTTCCCAAGGGCCTGTCCACTGCCTCCTTCCAGGGCCCTTTACCTGTGAATTGGGGTGTAAAGTCACCAGGGGAAGGCGGGTCCTGTGACCATCAGCATGAGGCTGAGGCCAAGTCCATGTTCTCAGATTTACCACCTCCATCACCCTCATGCGACACTTGATCCAGTCCCTTGTCATCTCTCCCCGGGACACGACTGCAATCCAAAATATTTAATGCTTATAAGGTTTGGGCACCAGCCCATCATATCATAAACAAGCCATAAATAAGACTGACAACACCATCCCCCCACCAGCCCTGACAAGTCTCCCGCTTCCAGCCCTCTCCCCCAGAGATAGGTGAGGGCACAGCCCTGGCTTCCCACTGCCGCCTAGAGAAGGTTTGATCTCGCTGGCTTGGCCCCAGCCACCCCTTCTCATCAGCTCTCTCAGACCTCATGTCAATAGTCAGTGCACACTAGGCTCCCCACCCCAAAACCTATCTGACCTTGGCCCTCCCACCATGGTAGAGGGCCTCTCCCATTGCTATCTGAGTTCTTATCCTGCAAGCACTGACTCCTGAACTCTGGCTGTACCACACACTGGCTTGTATGACTCCAGGCCAGCTCCTGGCTATGCCCAGCCTCAGGCTGCTCTTCTGTAAAGTGGGCCTGGTGACAATGACACCCAGCTCACGATAGTGTGTGACAGAGCACAAGCTAAACATTCGGCACTTAGCACCATGCCTGGCACACAGTGAGCAATCAGTGATCGCTAGGATCATTGTCACTGTCACTGCCATTGCTACTCCTCCATGGAGCCTGGCGGGCCCCCTAGGTAGTGCTGCCCCTCCCCCGGCTCCACCAGCCCTCTGTGAGCATGGGGTCCAGCTACCACCAAGTGCTAACCGAGCGCAATGTGAGGCTCCTGCTCCTGGGGCTCCAGGTGAAGGAGTAGGTATGTGCGCCCCTCCCTCACCTGCGCTCCTGCCCCTGGGGGACCTGCACCACCATGGGGTTGATCTGCCTCTGGCTCAGTACCCAGAGGGTGAAGGACAGAAGGACATCCTCCCAGCCCACCTCCGGGTCTGCATGTGGCTGGGCAACATCACAGACAGCACAGACCTGCAGCTGCTCCGCCAGGGCGAGATGGTTGTGTACGCAGAGACGGTGAGTGGCCTGGAGGGGACAAAAGGTGGGGAGCTGCAATGGCCCAACATGGAAAAAAACGTGACTGGGGAATGTGGGATTGGGAAAGGGAGTCTGAGCGAGAGAGAGTGGCAGCAGACACTAGAGCAACCTTAGCTGCCACCAGTTCAGGTCCCTGGTCGACAAGTCATAGTCCTGTGGTGAT